TAAATCATTTTAGTATCATAATACGATCATTTTCACTTCATATCATAAATGAGCCATACCTGTCTCATTTCCTGGGACCTGGTTATAATTTCAGAACTTCAATTAAGAAAATCAAGCCAATTAGATGGAAGTCGAAAAACATGTAAATTTTCTAAACTCAAAATTTCCTTTGCATGGAACTTTTTCTTTTGCTACTATTTCCACTAAAAAGTGTAGCAAAAGTGAGAACGCAGTTTATATTTGATACTTTCAAATGTGCTCTTTCTCGTGGTCTATAAAAAACCGTTTTTAGAGCAGATGGTGTGCTCGAGAACGAAATTATAAAAATACATCAAAAGTTGACAACCTCCCCGTTTCCAATAATGTGCTCAATCAAGAAACGGAAAAGATCACTGAAGTTTGATTTTGCAGTTAGATAGAGAAGAGCAATCATTTCTGATCAAAACAAAGCAAACCCGATCGCTTTTGTTTTGATGAAGTTATGGGGCTTTTACTGGAAGCACTACTATACCTAAAATAGGTAAAAGACAGAGCGAAGTCAGGGCTACAAAATCGCTGATTCAGTTTATCTTACTTTCAAAACGTTAACACAAGAAATCATTTTTGAATTTAGAAGGTTTACATTTTTTTCGACTTTCATCTAATTGGCTTAGTTTTCTTAACTGAAGTTCTGAAATTATAGTTTAGGTATGATTTTGTAGAGCATTTCGCAGCGCATCTTTTAAAACGAACCCAAAGTCTGTAGAGTGAAAATTGACGAAGTTACTATTATTTACAAAGCTTGCAGAACTTATGTTGCAACCCAATAATTCTGAAAGTTTTTAAAAGCTGGAAAATGGTATCACCTGATGCGAAATAATCTTAATTTGCATCCTGTGGACTATTTTTTCTCGGTTTCTTTGCGACAAGTTGGTAAGAAACAGTTTGTACACTTCGAATGTCAAGGCCCTTTTTGATCATCACTATGTATACCGCGAGTTTTCATGATCATGGGTTTCACATATTCTTTGTAGCTTTTTTGTTCCGTTAACATTAAATTTTGAATATTTGGAAAAGTAAATAACTTTTCATCTTGCGAGTTGTCTCAAACAACAGAGAAGATGAGGGAAGTATTTTTAGTCACAAAATATTTCCATTTTCGTTTTTCTGTCCTGGAAGAAAACGGGCAGAGCTTTTAAAAAAGGCTATTTCCAAATACTTTGACCTGCGACATTTTCAACTGTGCACTGTGCGTAACTCACATGACCAGACTTCGTTGAGATTTGTATCTTTTTCTTGTTTTCGTGCGTTCTTTGCGGGGAATAAAAACCAGCTTCGTAAGTTCTTGCGTTCTCCCAAAAATTGAAAAATACTGTCAAAATGTTCCACGACATAAAATGTCAAGTATCTCGACCGAAACACCACTTGATTCTTCTAGACGGGGAAAATGCAATTATTTGCTTGGAAATCAAAAAGAACAAGTTTTCTTACATTCTTGACATATTGTATTTTTGTCTCAAAATAATAGGAACCCCGCATTTGTTTTAGAGGGCTTTGATAAATCTGTAATACCAGCTCATAATAGACCCATTTGTTTGGTAAAAGTGTTTAGAGATATGGGAAACATTGTATGGATAGTAGTAGGGAAAAAATACTTTACGCACACATCGTACGTGCTGAGCCGATAAACTTCAAGAGAAGATGAAGTCACATGGGATTGAAAAAGTGTCACCGAGTCATGACTCTATTTGCATGGCAGTTTTTGACGCACTTCCTCCCTCTTTAGAGGAATATATGATGCTCATACATTCGCAGCATGAAAGACTGAGGACGGACAGGAGAACGTCCCTCCGTGTCACGCCTCCAAGAACAGACTCTGCCGTCTTTCCGGGAGAAACATTATTTAGGCGCCCCTTCCCTTCAGACCAGGTACCTCTTCCGCTAATCCAGCAAAAACCATTAAATGGTTTTCCTGAAACGTCAGAAATCGATACATTTCATTGTCCGCATTACATAATCCATATAGCCAGCATCGCGGCCTCTCTGATACAGTGTTCTGTTTGTTTATGCGCCTGTTGTTGAACCATTTTTGTTTTTTCACAACCCCTTTCTCGAGCTGAGGTAGCAGTTGAGCATTGTAATACACGCATACAGTTCAAACCGGTTTATGAAGACGCCTGAAATCTTAGCCTGATATTGGAGACGACATGAAGAACCTACGTTTATACAGATTGATATATATGTTGATTTTTCTCTGGTACAACAGATAACCTGCCCTCTACCACAACTAATGCTCCTTTAACAAACAACGCTAACGTATTTACGGCAGCACCCCGTTCCACCATCCAGAATGAAGCGGAGCGTTTTTCAAAAACACAAGGTTCTCACGCGCGAATATTTGACAATGGACATGTGTTTCAGAAAACGCCTGGTAATTCTTGGGTCTGCGCAAGTGGAAGTCGAGTGTACGCAACAGGAGCTCATAGAATACGGATGCAAGTCGAATATGGCAGTGCAATGTTGGGCATTCTATCACACGAATTCAAACCGTATTGTCCTGACTACTATAAAACATATTCCGCGCACGGTTGGTGGACAGATGGTGATACGACCGTTAATGGTTATACGACAAAACAAAAGTGGATGTCTCGGCATGAGAACAATGATTGTTACGCGCTTACATTGGACTGTGAAAGACAATGTTTGCAGATAGTGAGAGAACGGACAATAGAACAACATGAAATGGGAATCAACCTAGATCAGGCTCCATTGCCGTGGCAACTCTTCGTCGTCCTCAGTTTGACTGGCGCTCGAATAATTCTCTTGTGAAAAGGCAAAGCATTTTGACTAACATTATTTACGCGACATGCGGACAAATTGCTGTTTTGATCGGACATCCTCATTGTGTAATTTCAAATGTTTTATGTGTGTCTCCAAAAGCTGAAACCTGAGTTTCGCAAAAAAATTGTTATTAGCAGTTCTCGAAATGTTGACAAGATAAGTCTTTTATATTTCTTTGTAGTCAATGTATCTCAATGAAAACGTCAAATTGCAGTCCGTATAGGATAATTCTGTATTTTCAGGAAAGGTTGGGGACAGCTACTATCCATTTCAAAATAGCATGAAATTGTATGACAGTTGAAAATAGCACATTTATAAGGTCCGTGTAAAAATCAAAGGTTGAAGTCTCGAGTGGAAATTCAAAAAAATTCATTTATATCTAGAAAAAATCTCCATGAAAAGTTACTCAAGGATCCACAATATTACAATTTCTGAACACTACCCCGAGAAGGTAGCCTAGGTCCACTCTTATGTCCCGAGACAAATAGAGTAAAAACGGAGAGGCTGGCAAATAGTAACTCCTTAGGTGTTCGGTAAAAGTCACGTACGGTCAACTTATTGCTCATGCTGCTTTCTGTGTGTCACTACTGGTCAGGAATTCTGCTTCTGTCGGTCAGATAAGGTTGGGTCGCCATGTGTGTCTAGTAGTGTCTGACTACTGCTTAACAGGTCTATATCTCTAGCGTCGGAATATCTCGACAGAAACAGAAGCACATGACGATTGAATAAATGTGATTAGTAATACAATATTATTAATGTATAGACAGACATGACGACTCAACCTAACCCGACCCACAGATCTACTATGCGTTCCAAAATACAAGACAGTCAGCCACTTTTTGAATAACTTTTGATAGGAATAAGATAGAGACCTGCGATTTTCGCTGCTCAATAGCCAGCTATCATAGCTTGGAAGAAAATCAATACAATCCAATTGAAAATTTTTACACATGGCCTGGTTTTCCAAAGATCTCCTTGCTGTTTCTCTTAGGTTTTCAGTAAAAGCCGTTTTTCTCAGCAAGGAAAACGAATTTTGAAAAAGTTCTATGTATTTTTAAAGCTGGCGTGTTGGCCAATCTGATGGTGTGTGAGACATATATAGCCCTTCATCCATAAAACTAGATAGATTTACAAAATGAGTCATACCCAGTTGACAGCCGTTAGTTCGGACGTCCATGAGGGACGATTGTTCACCTCTGAAATGAACTGAAAACCTTTTTCTTAATCAATTTTCAATGCTGATTCAGAAAAATATAGTTCGTATCTTCCATCTTGCAATACAAACTCAAAAAGTCAGTTTCATCACAGAGGTCGGTTTTTTGTATTTTTCAGGTCCTCTCAGTAATTTGAGTTTTTCTCCATGAAGAAATGGCTTTTCGAAACTTGGAAGGTGTTATTCGTAATCAACTCGTCAAGCTGAATCTGAATATGTATAATAATGCCAAAATCAAATCTCACTTGAAGTTTGCATTACGTGCATCTTATACGCGGACATGCTAACAAAGAATCGTAATAAAACTAAAACAAATTAACGTAAACGTACACACTCGGGTCGGCATAGATTTCATCCAGTCCCACCCTAGTCTATCACGTTTGAATGAAGGAATTACACTTTAGACTCACTGCGCTCACAAGCCTTTTTAGTATGAAATGCAAACACCGTGTTGAAAAATCGATATTTTTACCTCATACAATAATTTTTCATAATTATCAACAACTTGTTTAACATTATTTGTATTATTTAATATAAAATAAATCAGTTTTGCATACATTGTTTCATTCACTGTTGTTTTAGTATTAATCAAAATAATTTGTATGAATTTTTTAATAAATGGTGAACGATATTTGTACAAAAGTAAAAGAAATCGTTTACTAATATTAATCACTGAATTTATATCATTTCCTGTTCTTTTATAATATAAAATGAATTGTTCAAAGCATGATTGTGTGTGACAACAATAATGACCATTCAATTCAAAATACCAGATTGCTAATAAATAATATTGAATTGCTCTTTCACTATCACCTATCTTCTCATACAACGAACCAATATAACTAAAATAATCTTCATTGACACATTGTAGGCCAGAGATTAATTGTTTATCTATTAGTTGTTGGTATTTTAAAATAACAAATTTATAGTTACCATCAAGATAGGCCAAATTTTCTTCACAAATATTTCTTGCATCAGCTACATTTATTGCTGTTGCTTTGTATAAATAGTCACGCGTTTGTTCTAAAGCATTTTGTTCAAATGATAGTAATGCACGTTTCATATAACAATAAGCAAGACGTCTATTTATGTTCACTTGAGCATTCAAACAAAGATCAACAGATTGCACTAAATAAAAGCCAAATGCTAAATTTGAACGTTCAAAAATTATTTGACCACCGTTGACCGCGTGTAACACTGATTGAGATTCCACAGTTTCTGCTAATATTGATGTTGTATCTCGAACAGAGCTCACTTGCTCAAATTCATTTTCATATATTGTTATTATTCCGTCATAATATGATGTGAGATTTTTAATATCATTTGGCTTATATTTTTGAATTAAATGTAAAAATTGTTGATAATGATCAATAGTATGTTGAAAATCGCCTCTCTCGCGGTAGAGATAACCAATTTTTTCATGACATTGTAATAAAATTAAATAATCATCATGATTTGGTAAGTAAGGATGAGAGAGTTGCATCACTTGTTTAAAACGTTCAATAGCTAACTGAAAATAATAATCGTTATTATATTGGCAACGTTGTTCTGTTAAATCGTAATGATGTGCAAGAGATAAATATCCAGCAATAATCATTTGTCGATACAAACGTTTTCCCCGTAGACTACAATCAAGAAAGGCTTTCTACTTTGACCACAGTAAATATTGTTGTTTCAAGGATAGTGATGAATCGTGAATACCAGCTTCAGCTATGAAAATATAAATATGACCAGCAAATTCCTCTGAATATCTCAGTTCGTGATCAAATAATTTTTCATACATATCCCATGCTAACTGAATATCACCCATAATTTTATAAATGCATGCAATTTGAATTGAAGAAATATTATGATAATGATTATACATTGAATATTTATCAATCGAAGGTGTTTGACCTAGATTATATGCTTTTCGATAACATTCTAAAGCTTTTGGATAAGATTTTTCAGCTGTATAAATTGCACCTAAACAATTATAACTTTGTATGAGTAAATCATTGTTTTGTGCCTTTAATAGTAATGACAATGCTTGTTCTTGTTCGATAACAGCCTCAGAATACTTTTTCTCTTTATAAGCAGTCCAACCGAGACCAATATGACATGCTGCCCGTATTGAGAGTGATGAACCCAGTTCATCCTGTAATAAACAATAATAAGATTTAGCTTGATCAGCAGTTAACAGATTACCAATTTTGATTAATTTTGATTCAATTGAAGTTGTTGTTTTCAGAGTTTGGTAATCTTTAGTGATATCAATTTGTCTGTCATCTTCATCAATTAATGTTATTTTTACAGTGTAGAATTGATCCGTGTCGCAGTATGTAGTTTTACCAATACGAAAAAATGCCCCAGCCATAAACAGACATTCTTCTTCTTCTGATTTAAATTGACTTTGATCACCGAATAGATCAGCAAATGGTTTCCATTCAAAGGAATTTTGTTTTTCAATTAAAATATCACATTCAAATACAACTGATACTATCTCTGCCCGTCTGTCAGATATACCAGCAAATCTAACGGCAACATCGCGATCACGACTTGTTGAAAGAAAACTATTGATGGATACTAGAGTACCGTAGGTAAAATTATTGTCAAGTTCAAATTTTGACATTCTTTGTCCCCGATAACGTTTCATCTTCATATCTTCTACATATGTATAATTGCGGAAATAACCGTAGTATATTTGTTTCAACTGTTCATATAAATCAGCAATAAAAAAACGAAATTTAAAAATACCCCGAATATCGTGTAATCTTAATGATCGATTCAAAAGACGAAAAATAAATGTATTACATGTATACCAACGAATGGCATCTTTCGGAGTATACGTACGTTCAAATTCCTCAATAACTGCCAAATAAGTTTCATCGCAACGATAACATAATTTACATTCATCAATAAATTTTTGCTTATCTTGTTCATATGAAGAATGATCAAGATCAAGAAGGAAATCAATAAATAATGGTTGCCAAAAGTCAGTATAATAAGCAAAGGGATTTAATTGTTGTGTAGTAGTATCGCCGTTAGTTGATGACACTTGTTTGTATATTGATATAGGTATAGAAGAATGACGAGCATAACTATGAAGATCAGATGAGAACTTTTCAAGCAAAACGCCCATATTTTGAAAAATATGATTCACCTAAAAATATACACAAAATCTCAGTTGTTCTATGTTCGTGACATGGTTTAGACTCTTTAAAAACAACAGCAAGTAGTTTTATATTATAGTCTGACAGAGACTATGATGAGGGCGGAGAAAATTCCTCTTCTCTGAGTAGTCGGAAAGCCCTCACTCTTACTCACGAGGTACCATATGCAGGTGTGAAATCGCTTTTTTCAGCTAGTGAATCACAGGTAATCGATGGTGCTGATTTCGAATGTCAACATGAAACGGGCTGCTACGCCTCATAGACTGGTTTTCTAAAAAAACAGTTTTCGAGAAAGTCCAAAAAGTCTTCAAAACCTTTCTTAATAAGTCATGTTTTTAGCGCTCGAAATTTTGATCAAAATGAGACATCCCCGACTTTCATATAACCTTTCTTAGCAAAGTTATAGAATTTACAAGAAATGCCCTAAATTAATTTCTTCTTATTTCTGTAGCTTTGAGCCGACAATGAACATTTATTGTTTCATGTTGATATTCGAAATCAGCACCATCGATTACCTGTGATCCACTAGCTGAAAAAAGCGATTTCACACTTGCACATGTTACCTCGTCAAACTACTTGTAAGATATAGTAAGGTCAGGAAAGATAAGGTGGTGTAAGAGAAAGAAAGATGAGATAAACTTTAATTGAGGACCTTCTACCCATCTAGCGTTACCCTCCTCTCTATATTATGATATCTACACTATCTTATCTTACCAGGTTGAGAATTCTTAGAGAATTTTTAGCTTTATCAGTTCTTCTGACTTCTCAGAGAATGGGACGTTTCTCCAGTATGATTATACTGTGTAAATCTTTTTAAATTTGAAGAAGGGGGTGTCCCCCATTTAGATTTTCTTTAAGACTTCCCAGTGTATAGGGGATACTTTGAAGTATATGTTCTAAAGTCTTTTCGGCCTACTGACATTATTTGGCGAAGAAAAAAATTAATTACTGAAAAAAATGATGTTAAATTTTTGAGCACAGGGCTACTATTAAAAATTTCCTGGCCGTTCCTCTTTCATTATAAAAATTTGGCTCTCATCTAGATCGATAGAGAAATGCGCGGAGAATATTAATAGGTATCTCCGGCAGGCATTTTTCGGTCGGCTTCGTTCTTTGTCGGTATTTAAGAGACAGTCCATGACTCGATTGGCCATTTTGTAGAACACTGGTCATGAGAAAAATGTTGAGGTATCCTGAGAAATGATAGAAAAAACACTCTGAGCTGGTCGATCGAACACCCATATACTTCGTTCGAGACTGTGAACTCATCAGTTTCCTGAGCTAAAGTATTTCGGATTTCTAGTGACTTCAAGGATTTTGAATATCGAGTAAGAAAATCGAAAGCATGCAAGACCCAAGCAAAAATTTATATCAAGCGTCTGTTGTATTTATAATGGGACTTTTTCAGTCGATGCCAATCAATTGCGATTAAAAACTGATTATTAGATTAAAAAACGCTTTCTTAAAGGATTGCTATCGGACTTTTAATCCTAGCCGATTAGTATCGACTGAAAACTTTGAATATAATCGATTTTGATTACGAATTTTTATGTGGGAAATTGACAGAGACTACTAGAGTGGAAAATATATCCCGTACCTATATGCTGGTGTGCCTATTCATCCAAAACAGGTATACGATTAAAGATACCCCCTCTCACAAAAAAAAGAGTTTTCAAAACAGAGGCATGTCAAACTCAATGTAGAATTAAGTATGCTCTCCAAAACGGAGTCAATCTGACTCTCAAAAGTGTCTCTATTTCGGGTTATAGATTTTCCAAGTTTTTGTAGCCCGACCCTTTTCCTCAATTTTTTTATCAAAGTTTTAACAACTCTGCAGATTAACCCTCCCTATATAACCTTTAGCTGTAAGGTTTTTTTAACCTATTAGCCATACGAATTTATAAGTAGCTGTCAGATAAGTTTCGCCGCAACGATAATAGAATTTATATTCGTTATTCGTCAAAAAAAAATTTCTTATCTTGTTCATATGAAGAATGGTCAAGAACAACGAGAAAGTCAATAAATAACAGTTGCCAGAAGTTTGTATAATAAGAAAAAGGATTTAATTGTTGTGTAGTAGTATCGGCATTAGTCTATGACACTTATCTGTATATTGATAAAGGCATAGAAGAATGACGGGAATAATGATGAAGATCAGATAAGAATCGTTCAAGCAAAAAATCCATATTCTAAAAAATGTCTTGCAGCTGGAAATATACACAAAATCTCAGTTGTTCTAAGTTTGTGTCATGGTTTAGACTCTTTAAAAGTAACAGCAAGTAGTTTTACATTATAATCTCATGAGATTACAATAACAGCGGAGAAAATTCTCCTTCTCTGTGAAGCCGGAAAATGCTCACTCTTATTTCTTAAAATTCTTACTACAAGTTAAAAATTCTTAAAACTTTTTACATTTATTAATTTTTTAATACTCCTTGGAGAATGTAAAATTTCTCCACTATGACTATAATGTCTTCTTGAACTTTAATCATTTATTTGGGAGAGCACTTATGGAGGTGAGAGAGAGTATAGCAGATTGTGTTGATTTCTGCAAAGATTTCTTGTCGGTCTCACTTAAAAATGTAAATGGCCGTTGAAATCTATTTTTCATCTTTGAATAGTTTCTGTTACAAAAGTCTTCTTTTCTATAGTCATATTTAAGCTACCTCTAAGGCAATAAAGCTTAATCGTAATATGTCCTATATACCTGTAAAGTCCACAGATCCATCCAGGTTTTATGAAGTATTTTATCAAGTCTTGAAGAGAAAGACAAGGTTATCTCGATTAAATTTTCTTAGAGTCATAAAGAAAGATACTGATAATACTACAAGAAAAGTTTTGTGAAAATGTCAATATTAAGCAAAGCACATTATTGAATAGCCCAAGATGTCTGCTGCCATAATCTTCATCCAAGGTTTCTGCAGGTTTTTCAGGAAGTCTCCAGGAAGCGCTGAAAAACTGACGTTTCCACTAACTGTGTGTTATCAATACAAATTCGAGTGAAAAAGTAGTTCTAAAGTGACTGGTTTTTAGACCTTTCTTTCTGAAGGCTGCCCCCGCTCCCGTCAGAAACCTATCTCTGAAACTATATGTCCGATCTTGATCAAACTTTTAGGAGATGCTAATCTTGT